TCTCGACTTACAAGAGGAATCTCTCACCTCGGTGCTCTTTTTTCTTCTCTCTCTACACCGAGATACACCGAAGAAACTCTACACCGAGATACACCGAAGAAGATAAACTTATAAGAGGAATAAAACCAATTTTTCTTCAACCACATGTCACCAAGAAGAAGTCAAAAGAGAACAATCTTCTTCTTCTTATATCTTCTTCCTTCACCATTCTTCCTTCACCACAAGGAGCTACACCTTGCACTGCTCTTTGTCTATCCCAAGGAAACCCGAAGAACTCTTCCTCTATCTCGAGGAAGCAGAAGAAGAACTCAAAATCGTGACTTCACTTAATCTGAAGGTGAACTGTCTCTTATTCTATTCACAACTTAAAGGAAGCGGGAGGAGGCGTCATTTCACGAATATCGCGACATTTCGCGACAGTGGAGCGGGAACAAGTATCGCGACCTTTCCCGATCGAGCAGGAGGCGAGAATAGTTTCATGACAGCAGGGGATCGCAACGTTTCACGATTGGGAGCGGAAGCAAGGTTGGGGTCACGACGTGTGCGAAAGCGAGAAATCAGGAGGTAGATCGGGCTCCAGCTCTAACAATCTTCCACCTAGAGAACGATACACATGCAACATCATTTTCTTCCTCAAACTGATATCCTCCACTGGCGGAGTCACCCTTTTTATTCAAACATGAATCTTCCACCTCTGCAACTCAAAGTGTTGTCTTCACTCCAGAAGACCAACTGAAGTTGTGCACAACTTCAATTTCTCAAGACTAACACCCTCAGTCAACATATCAGTAGGGTCCAAATAGTCTTTCACCTCCAAGCTATATCCTGGATTACTCTTGTCTCTGTTTACAACTCCCACTGCATGAGCAATATCATGTCTCTGTTGAAAGCTTCTTTCAACAAGTCTAGCTTTGTACCTCTTACTGCCATCAAGCTCAGTATTCACCTGTTACACCCACTTGTTGTGTAATGTCTTTGTCCCTTGTGGAGGTTTTGTCAGCTCTCACTTGCTCGAACTTTCATATTGCAAGATTTCTTCATGGCTATGTGGTTCTTCAACATCTGTTTGTGGAACAATAGAAATGGGTGTCCCAGACCAACTCTCCTCTTCACTTCCATCATCAACAAAACTATGAACTACCAGTAATAGTGCATCATGCACTTCTTCAGATATCACATTTGCGTTATCATTCTCCATTTTCTTGGGATTCATGCAGTTCCTCTTTATGTGGCCAACATTGTCCTTGCCACAATTTCAGTAGGTTGTCTGCTGACCAAACTGATTTTGATCTCTCTTTATTTGAGTTTATGTCGTGTCATCTCTATCTGAAATCAACATTCAATGTTGAACTCAAACCTGAGAACTATCCAGAATTTTTTCTGTGCACTTCCTTAGCCAAAATCAAATCATGAATATTATCACATTTCAGTTTAAATTTACCTGCAGAACTGCTAACTGTCATCCTCATGACTTCCCAACTATTTGACAACGATGCCAACAATATCAACGCACTTATCTCATTATCTCATCATCAAAATCAATTCAAAATAAATCTCAATAGTGGACAATTGATTTATGATAGTATTGAAATCATTCAGGTGTTGAGCAACGGAAACACCTTCGGCCATCTTTAAGTTGAATAACTTTTTTATCAAGTACACATTGTTATTCGCTAATGGCTTTTCATATATACTGATAAGATTGTCATAGAATCTACAATCGTCCTTTCCTTGACGAAGTTGTGTGCAACGGACCTCGTTAGCGTCAATTGAATAACCCCCAGAACTTGTCGATCCAACAAATTTCATCCAGCCTCATCCATCATTTCAGGTATTTTCCCCAATAACAGAAGATGAAGTTTCTTCCCATAGAGGTAGTTCTTTATTTATATTCTCTAGTAACCAAAATTCGTGTCATCAAATTTCTCGATCTCTGAAATCTTCACTTCATATGTAGTCATCATTCTTCCTTAGATCTGAACAAAGCTCTGATACGAGTTCTTGGGATAAGATATACACTAGTTGATGTGTTATACATATAAATCAAATAGGAGAACGATCGACGAAGCGAAAAAATAGAATCACAAAAAATCACACCAGAAAAAAACACACAGATTTACGTGGTTCGACAAATTGCCCACATCCACGGAGTTGCAGAGGATTTTACTTCTTCAGGAATTTTCGCCAGTCAACCATCTTGACTTACAAGAGAAATCTCTCACTTCGTTGCTCTTTCTTCTTCTCTCTCTTTTCTTCTATCTCTACACCGAGATACACCGAAGAAACTCTACACCGAGATACATCGAAAAAGATAAACTTACAAGAGAAATAAAACCAATTTTTCTTCTACCACAAGCCACAAAGGGAGAATAATCTTCTTCTTTCACCGCAAAGAAAAACAATCATCTTCTTCTTTCTTCTTCCTTCACCGCAAGGCACTACACCTTGCATCTCTTCCTCTATCCCGAGGAAGCCCGAAGAAGAACTCAAAACCATGACTTCGCTTAATCTGAAAGAGAACCGTCTATTCTTCTATTCAAAACTTTAAGGAAGCGGGAGTCAGCGTCATTTCGCGAATATCGCGACCTTTCGCGACAGTGAAGCGGAAACAATATCGCGACCTTTCGCAATCGAGCGGGAGGGGGGAGCGGTTTCGCAACAACAGGGGATCATGACGTTTCGCTATCGGGAACAAAAGCAGGGTTGGGGTCGCGACGCGAGCGGGAGCGGGACTGAGCTCCAGCTCTAACATTTTCAAAGTTAAAATAAGCAGTCCAAGTTCTAAAGAATCCTTAAGTGAGAAGACTGGAAATAGGTTCAGAAGGTTTCATATTAACGTGAATGTAATCCCAAAAATTAAAATTTTAGTAGGAAAAAAAAGGAAATTGCGGAAAGAGTAAAAAGTCAAAGCAATATGAGCTTAGACTAACATCATATATATTGGAACTCGATACAGGTAGGAAAGATTATATGAAAATAATAAAAGAAGTTTCAATCAGAATTAAAAAAAAAAAAGACCAATTTCCACGTTGGTTTAGTAGCTACGAATTTAAAAATATTTGAACTCCATCGAAACAATAGAAATGAATCAATAAGAATACCAAAAGAAAAATTTAAGCAAAAGAGATAAGAAACAGATAAACGAAGCTATGAATCCAAGCATGCCAACTGACTCCCAACATAACGTTTGGATAACCATCACAACTTAATAACAACATTCAAACCTCATAAAAAACATGAGAAGATAAAAAGAAGATAGAGGAGTAGAAAGATAGAAAGACAAGACAAACCAATATCATCAATTCAGGAAGCCAAAATTGACAAAAATTCCTTCAAGTGAGAAGGAACAACGCTTTTAAACTTTCATTTCATGCGCTCATCTTTTATCATCCAATGAATAAATTCAATAAACATCTTTATAGAGGTATTTTAATTCATAAAAAAACATTTTTTTTTCTTCTATCGAATCATATATGAGAAGATGTAGCTTTAGTTTTCAATAAATGAAATCTTTATTGAATTTTACAAGAAATATTATCAGAATGATATAAAACTTTAAAAATATTGCTTGGAACAATGAAAAAATTATCATTATGAACACAACTATTAAGTAAAGCATGATAAAAGAGATATTATGAGAAAATCAAAGAGTGTTTTTATGCTTATATACACAAAACACAGACATTATTAACAGTGACCCCCTAGAGCTGAGGATATCACAAGTCTTTAAACCTTGTTGAACAATTTTCAAAATATGAGAATCAATTTTTATATTATGACCATTAAACCACACAAGTTTATGCCAATCCACACTTGATAAGGCCTCATATGTATATAGAAAAAAATTTAAGAATAAATGTTCAATTGCATATAACATTGATGCAATGATCAAAATCTATGATATGCTGAGAAAAAAATTCAAGTTCCATTAAAAATAATGCCAAAAAGGTTAATATTATAAGGTAAACTAAACTAAGTGAAAAAAAAATTCCACAAAATTTTCTTTCAAGTTAAGAAGGGCCATAAAACTGAGGATCATGATAGAGGAAGAACGAGAATTACCCCAATTAAAACCATAATGATTTAAATACGAACTTGAAAAGTAAGAATTAGAATTATAAAATTTTCAAATAATTTTGGACTTAGCATAACAATAATGGCATCCAAAGAAGAAAGACTAAGTCCTCCATTTTGCTTCACTAAGGTAACTTTATTCCAAGATATAATATGAAGCCCTTTATTAGTTTCATTATAATGGAGATAATTACTAATGATATATGTGATTCTCCTCAAATCTATAGCCAAATAGTAGAATTGAATCAATAATAAAAATGACTCCAAATAACGAACTTGCTTAATTTTAGTCATTTGGAAGAAGACCAAAGCTTACGTTTCCAACCAACTAATCATGAATAAAGTTTATCAAGTTTATGCCAATAACCCATATTAAGTTTTTTATATTAAAACCACAAAAATACAAATTTGTTCCGGAGTCAAAATATGCACTAATTTAGAAAAAGATTTAACAAATTTAAAAAATTAAATGGAAGATTAGAGGCCTTATTAAAAACATTAATGATATTAGTAATGCAAGTAATGAAATTAGTATAAGTCTTGCCGAAATTAAGAAGATCATCAGTATCAATTAAATGAGAAATATTATCAGTAATATCATTTTTCATAATAGTCATTTGAGAATCAATCAAACTTGAAAGTGCATCCATTTCAATAACAAAAATATAATAATAAAAAAAATGTTATGCCCGAAGAGAAGAGGGCAGGGACTAAAAAAAACTTAATATGAACAATATGAATTTTAATCAAGTTTTAAAAAATGCGAGAAAAACCTAACATTCTCCTTATTTCACAAAGAAACAATCTCTTAAATCTTTCAAAAACTTTCATTCTGAAGACTAAGAATGCTAACTATAAGATTTCTTATCGGTTTTGTTTTTATAACGTGTGGATGCTTCATAGAAACTTTTATGATTTTCTTAAAGATTGCTGGAAGACCTCTGCTGTTGGTACTTACGGGTATAAGCTGTGGATTTTGGAAAAACATTTAGCAAAAAGGCGTAGAAAATGGAACTGGGAGGTGTTTGGAAATATTCATCTTGCTATTGAAAATCTAGAAAATAATGTTAAGGCTTTGAAATTGGATTTAGCCAATCAAATGATTGATTGGGAAGTCCTTTTTCAAGGTCAACAGGAGCTGAATAATGCTATTTTGAAGGAGGAATGTTTCCTAGCTCAAAAATCCAACAAGATTGAATTCTTCGAAGGGGATAGAAATTCTGCTTACTTTCATGCTTGTATTAATAATAAGAGACGTCACAATAATATTAGTATGATTAATTGCGGTAATGGTATTATCTTAACTAAATAGGAGGATATTTCCAAGGATGGTATTACTTATTTTTCTAATATCTTTTCTTCTGATGGAAGTCCTTTACAAGCTATTAAAACTGCCTTATATAGTCCTTTGTTGGATGATTCAGAGCATAGTCTTAGTTGTATTCCCAACACCCTGGAAATTAGGAATATTGTGGAGTCTTTGGAGGATGGGAAGGCTGCGGGTCCTGATGGTTTCAATGTTGAGTTCTATAAGAAAAACTGAGAGATTATTCATCCTAACTTGGTTAATACAATTCAGGATTTTTTTTGTGGGGTGGATTTACCTCAATATTTTAAGTCTTCTAATATTGTTCTTATTCCCAAAGATAATGTTGCTTCATCTTGGGATAAATTTAGACCTATCAGTATTAATACTTTAGTGTCTAAGATAATTTCTAAATTATTGTTAACAGACTTCATCCTTTCCTTCATAATATCATTTCCAATAATCAATCTGCTTTCGTCAAAGGGAGGAATATTTGTGATAATGCATTGACTATTCAGAAACTTCTTATGGATTTTGATTTGAAGAATAAAGGGGGCAGTGTGATTTTCAAGCTTGAAATTAAGAAAGCCTTTGATACCATTCGTTGGGGGATTATTCAACATTTCCAGGATGCTTCTGGGCTTAATTTCAATACTTCTAAATGCTATTATTATTGTTCTAAAAGGGTTTCTTCTAACACTAAGAACTAGATTTTTGATATTACGGATTGTAAAAAAGCCACACTTCCTATACCTTATTTGGGGTTCGAACTGAATAAAGGTCACATAATATTTGCTTCTTGTCTGCATATGATAGATAAAATTAAACAGAGACTATCTTCTTTTGAGAATAAATTTCTCTCTTATGGAGGTAGAATTATTATTCTTAAAAGTATTATTTGCTGCTTGCTTCTTTATTCTTTACAGGTTATGAATATTCCTAAGGGGATTATTAAGAAGCTTGAAGGGCTGTTTAATAAATTCCTTTGGGATGGTTTGGGAAAGAATAATATTCCTTTGAGGAGTTCGCAAAAGTTGTGTAAGTCGTTTGATATGGGTGGTCTGGGTTTTAGAAATATTCAGGACTCTATTAAAATCAACTACATGAGGTTATGGTCTCGGTTTAGATTGAACAATTCTTTATGGGCTTTTTTAATGAAGGTTAAGTATTGTGGGGAAAAACATCCTTTATCTATCTCTTCCTTAAAAAGATATTCATTCATCTGGAAAAAAATACTTAAAGTTTTTAAGCTCACGGAAACTTTCTTTTGTTGGGATTTGGGTAATGGACAATGCTCCTTTGGTTTGATAATTGGTTGGGGCAAGGGGCTCTGGCTGATCATTATGGAGGACCTTATGATACATAATAATGCAAATCAATTTTGGTGTAGAGAAAGCTGGATGATGGAGAAACTTTTGAGTAATGTTAATTTACAAGATGCTAAATTCATTGATTCGATACCTATAACTGATATAAGAAGGATACTTTGATTATTAAAAAAAGATGGGAAGATTCTATATCAAAGTGCTTTGCTTAGTCTATAAGTGCTTTGCTCAGTCTATCTCGGTTTCTCATCTCTTACAATTGAAATGGATTTGGAATCAGTGGTTAAAACCATCCATGTCTTACTTTATATGGAGATTTTTGCGTAATTTGATTCCTTCTGATGACATTCTTAAAATGAAAGGATTCAGAATGTCATCATGTTGTATTCTTTGTAAAGATAAAGAGGAATTCATTGCTCATCTTTTTGGAGATTGTCGTTTCATTACTGATATATGAGATATTATGATTAAACAGCTGATTAATGTTGATATGGATAACACCTTCTCTTCTTTTACTGATTTGTTTCAGTGATGGAAGCAATTGGGCAAGGATTTTTACAGCACTATTCCTTGTGTTGTTATTGGTTTGTTTGGCTTACTAAAAATAATGCTTTGTTTAATGATGAGATTCCTGATGTTCAGCATACTAAGAGTATCATTTTATGTTATTTGTGCAAGAGTCTTACTTCCTTACAATTTAAAGATAGGGGCTAGACTTTGCTGAAGGAAAATTATAAGAAGTTGGTTTTGCTTAATAGGACTGTTAGGATTTTTGTTAAGATTTTTGGTTTAAACTTTTGGTTCCTTATTTTAAAATTATCATTGATGGTTGTTGGAAGTTAGATGCTGCGAGTATGGGAGGAGTTTGTAGAGATTTTAATGGTTTGTTAATTTGTTGGTTTTCTGCTTTAAAAGTCCTTATTTTTGCGCTTACGGCAAAAGCTGATGCTGTGGTTTTTGGCTTAATGGTTGCAAAAAGTTAGGAATTTATAATATTATTATGGAAATGGATTCTCTGATCCTTTGGAAGTGTTGCAGGTGGAATAGAGAGGTGCATTGGAGTATTATGCTGCAGATGAAGCTAATTAAAGCCTTAACTGAAAATTTGAATGTTCTTTGGACACATGTACGTAGAGATGGTAATTCGGTGGCTCATTAGGCTGTGAAGATTGGTTATAATCTTTCTAAAGCTTCTGTTTTCTTTAATTTTCCTGATGTTTTGTTGGTTTTAGCCAATATGGATCTATCTTGATTGTTTTTGGTGGTGTGAGTTGTATTTTCTATTTTTTTTTTTTTTCGGCTTGTGTGAGCTGTTTAAGGCTTAGGGCCAATAAAATTCCTTGGGGAAGACCCCCACTTTGGGTTAAAAAAAAAAAAAAAAACTTCAATAATGTCAATTTTCAAGCAAAAAATTTAAATCAAATAATTAGATTTATAACCTTTGGGAAATTATTTAGTAAAAATAAAAACCTTTTGAGCTAGACCTTTAATATTAAGAACAAGATATTTAAACCTTTTAGCTAATAAAATAATAATAGTCTCCTAAATACTATTATCCAAAAGGCGAGGTCTAAATTGAATAAAAACAATTAGCATCAACTTCATTATTTGTCTTCGCAAACAACCCTTCATTCTTCGCGCGGGGAATCTCCACCCCTCCAATTTTTCGACACGTGCCGCACGTTAAACAGGTCGAACGACCACCAACGTACGCCGCAGCCGCGCTGTACTATTCGGACCATAACGACTTTCGGCACCCAGATCGGAATTCTGAACGGATCTATCTATCAGATACGTGTCCGGCCGTCGTCCGCCGCCCGAAACGGTGGCGCCGCATGCTTCGCGATTCGAACTCTACCCCTCTATCCTCCACGTGCCATTCGATGATCCACCCCTCCGCCGCATTTATTTTCCTATCATCTGCTGTATTTCTATTTCCCCTTCCTCTGCTATTGCGGGAGTTCCTCCGCGCACCTCATTTCTGTTTTAAAAAAAACGCATCTTTTACGCTTCTGTTCATCGCCGCCGTGACTTTTTGACGCTTGAATTACTGCGGCATCTGGTTATTCAACAGTAGATTCCCTCATCGGCCATCAAAATCCGTTTTTTTATCGTCTGTTGCCGTAAAAATCCATTTGTTTTTAACTTGATTCGATGGAGCAACCGGCGAGGGATCTTCTCCGGCGGTTTTCCGGCGGGTACTCGACGGAAGAAGTGACCTGTGGGGATTCCGATGAGATAGAGCTCGGGCTTTCGCTCGGCGGCTGCTTTAGCTCACAGGATGCGGAGAGTGGCCGGCTCATAAGGTCGACGTCTTCTATTCCTGCACTGCTTCAAGGTGATTTTCCGACCGTTGTGCCGCTTGTGAGGTCTTGCTCGTTGCCGAGCGAGGCGGAGGAGGAGATTTGGAGGAGGAAGGAGATGCAGAGTATTAAGAGGATGGAGGCGAAGAGGAAGAGGGAAGAGAAAAGGAACATGAAGAGATTTGATGAACATTTTGAAGGGGTTTCTGTGGGGAAGATGAGGAGGCTTGAAGTTGAATCTTCGTCAAGAAGATTAGGGTCGGCGTCGCAGGGTTCGGCGGCGTCGCCTGGGAATAGTTCTTCAGGTGGATCGGAATTTGAGAGCAGGACAGTGCAAGGTATGTTGGAGATGATGATGTGATTTGGTTTTTATGTATAAAGTTGCAATCTTTAAAGTTTTCTTTTTTTTTTTGGTTGTTGGGATTTGATGTTTTGGATTAGGGTTTTAATAAAATAATTGTGATCTAGTGATTCCAAATAGGATTTTATCATGAAGTCTGATTGTGTTAGAAATCTTTCATTGGAGGTAGAGTTATTATTCATTTTGGGCTTTATAATGAAATAATTGTGCTTTTTTGAAAATTTTTCTGGTTGTTGATATGATTGAGATGGTATATCAGGGTTGCTGATTTCTTATGTTTACTTCCCATTTTCATTCAAATAAAGATGATTCCATACACAAAGGTTTTTAGGCATGAAATGCAAATTAAATATTTTCATTAGTTAATTTAAAGCACATATGTGACAGCCAAAACTCTCACCCATCAAGGTATTGTTAGTTTTAGCCTCACGCTTATGTCTTGTTGGTGTAACTTCACGAGAGATAAGCTATCATAGGATTGCCACAACATGCACACACTTAACTTTGGAGTTATGTAGAAATTTAAGTGCCACACCAAAAGGCATCTCGATGATTAGGTATCATTCTAGTTAGGATGTTTCACAACATATATTACAAAAAAATAGTGTTATTATACTACTTAACAATCATCATATAAATCAGATTTATGAATTTTACTATTTTGTAATTGAATGTTTCAATCCCTTCATGTATGTTGATATCTTACATAAGAATTTTTTATTTAGTTGGGACGAAATGTTTTATACGATATTTGGTTTAATGACTCTTTACAGTGTCGGACAGAACTACAATGGGGGTACTAGTGGCTCGTGAGTTTTTTTTTATATTAAACATTGTCATGTTATATATGTATTTATATTTCTTAATGCCATTTCTTCTTTGTGGGGGTATTAGGGGCAATATTTTTAATGTGATGTTAAAGAGTTGAGGGGTATTCCTATAAATGTGAATCTTTAGTTGTTACATACATAAACATATAAGAATTATTTGGTATGTATGCAAATGCCCCAAAAAGTATGTGACTGTGTTAAACAAGCTTTCATTTGAAAAACTTGATCTGTAATGTATTTGCTCAAACCATATTGAAACCTAAATGAGGTCTTATATGCAACATAATTGCAGCATACATTGCAAAAGCCTTTCTGCTTATTTCCTTCTGCATGTTCTGAATTCCCAGGAATCATCCCTGCTTCTGATCCCAGCCCCCCTTCAAAACACAGCAGCAACAAAGCCTCACCAGTTCCTGCGGCCTCATCGTCCGTCGTTCTTCGCAACGGAGCTTTGCTCGACGGCGGCGGGACGAGTGATCGGACGAAGAAGATGATGGAGGGGATGCCATCGGTTTCGACAAGAGGAGACGGCCCGAACGGCAGAAGGATCGAAGGCTTCCTCTATAGATATGGTAAAGGGGAGGTGAGCATAGTTTGTGTCTGCCATGGGAGCTTTCTGACACCGGCTGAATTTGTTAAGCATGGAGGCGGTGGTGATGTTGCTCATCCTCTTCGGCATATTGTGATGAATTCCAGCTCTGGTTCCTTGTGATTGGATCAATCCCATAAGCTTTTTTGTTTCTGCAATTTTAATGTTTTTGATCAGAGGAAAGATGAAAGATTTATGTTTTGATTCTTTTTGAGTTGAATTATGCAGAAATTAGGGCTCTTTGGCTGAAAGAAAGTCTCAAGTTGTTCTCTGGTCTCTATTCATTCTTTATTCTTGCTGATTTATTCTTCATAAATTAATTTCAATTGCTGTTATTTGATCTGTTTGTCCCTCTCTTTGCAGTCCTTGCAGTCGGTTACAGTGTTTATTAGAAGATTTACAGATATACCTCTCAATTCTTCTGTATTTACATTCATGACACCTAAATCTTCCACACATGCCACCTTAGTTATGTATTTCACTTTTTAAAAATTAGAAGTTGTGGTATTTTTGTTGTGATATGAAAGATTTGTGTGGGATAAATGTAAATGGTAAAGTTTAAGTGTTGGATACATAAATACATAAGAATTGGGTGGTGCATATGTAAATGTCCATGAGTTTATTTTGTGCGCTTCTAAAGATTTTTGTTTTTCTCTCAATCGGAGTTATAGGTAATGCTGATCATTAGGTTTAGACAAAAAAGAGCCACGAGGTAGATGGATCGATCGAGCCGCCCTTTAGTTGGAAAAGTTATTACGTCTGATGTCCGAACGTAGCTCGGCATCCGGACGACGGACGTAATAATCTCTCCTTTAGTTGGACGTGATTGAATTTGTATATTGGTTTCTTTTCCCTCTCTTTTTCTCAGTAGAGAGACAAATAAGTTGTGTAGTACAATACAAGACTTACTTATGATATACTTGCTAGAAGGACGGAACATGGCTATGAGACAACTCTTAAATAGACACTGATGCGTGTATGATACAAAACTTATGATATACTTGTTAGAGGGTCGAAATATGGCTACGAGACAACTCTTAAATAGACAATGATGCATGTTTATCTTTGATTGACCGTGGCTTGCGAATCTTGAGGGACGATTATGGAGGGCTTATCAGGTCACTACAGCAAGTGAGTTTGATAGACTTCAGCATGCGAGCTTGATAGGTTACTTCAGCAAGCGAGCCCAGTGGTGGAGATAACTTTTGTTTTTTTTTTTTGGGTAAATAAAATGGGCCTTCTAAGGCCACGAAATCAGCTAAATGTTGGGCTCATGGGATGTGATTACAATCATGCACATAAATTTATTTTCAACCACCTAATACTTTAATAGATATTATCTCGAACAGTTAATCAAGCACTAAATGATATAAGCATCAATCGAGTAAATGTCGTAGCCAGAAAGCAGAGGGTCCGTGTACTCTTCTCTATTTGGGTAAACTACATTTTGACAATTTTTTCATAAAACTGCTGCTGAAATCTGTGTTTTTTCACCGGTGCTAATTAAGAGTGGTGGCAGCTTTCAAGCTATTGTTTAACCTTTTTTTTTTAAAAAAAAAAATTATAATAAATATCAAATTATTCTTCAGCAGTTTTATAATTATTCTTAATAAGCTGCAGTTGCCCCAACATGCCCAAAGTTGAGAAGGTCTATTACATTTACAATCATATTAACAAATGATTTTTTCTTATATCATTCATAATTCGTCTAGCTTTATTACAAGTATTTAATTTTATTTTTCACTAGAAATAGTAAAACAAATCATTGCTTTCATATGCTTTATCATCAAAAAGCTAAATGAGACAAATATTTTCATCTTGGTATATCAATTTATGTCAAAAGCATAGTTTTATAAATACAAATATCTTCAATTTTTAATTTTCAACTTATATATATATTTATAAATATCTTTGCTACTATTTTTTTTTTTTTGGAGTAGACAATGGATGCACCCGTCATGAATAATAAAACAATTATTAAATTAGATTTATTTTAAAATAAATTCGAAAATTTTAAATTTTTTTTATGATAATTATTATATTACATACTATCTTATTCATGAAAAATTATATTTCATCTTTTTTAAAGCTAGAAATGAAAGATTTAGATGATATAAATATAAAAAAGTAAAATTTACGTGTCAGACATGTAAATACATGAGAATTAAATGATATATCTGTAAATAGCTTTTTCTTTTCAAAAATTAAAAAAAATTCCCCGAAGTATGAAGCTTTTTGGGAGATCTGAAATTCCTCCCAAATCAATCAATTTGGCTTTGATTGGGCCGCTAAATTTGGAAAAAATATTACATCAGTACTACGCACGTAGAATTAACGTGTGTAGCCAATGAAATCACGTCACGACACCTTGCGCGACAGGAAAAAAAAACGGCGCAGTAACACGGGGAATTTTCCCCCTGTGTTATTCATGTGTTATTGTGTGTTATTCATGTGTTATTCATGTGTTATTGTGTTATTATAATACCAAAAATATTCTCATGACACAATAATTACATGAATAACACGGGGAATATTCCCGACAAAAAAACGACGCAATAACACGGGGGAATATTCTCCCCCATGTTATTCATGTGTTATTGTGTATTATTCATGTGTTATTAATGTGTTATAGTGTTATTATAACACCAGGAATATTACCATGACACAATAGCACATGAATAACACCGGAGAGAATATTCCTCGTGTTACTGTGCTTTTTTTTTTTCTTTGTCGCACAGGGTGTCATGACGTGATTTCATTGGCTACGCACGTTACTCTACGTGCGTAGTACTGATGTAATATTTTTTCCTAAATTTGAGGGAAAATGTAAATACATCATGCTTCATAATTTTATATTTAGTGTTTGATTGCCACCAAATTAAAGAGTTTTACAAACAGAGTTGTGTTGGACATCGTAACAAAAGTAAAAAAGCTAGCACAAATTTTTTTAAGGTTTTGGGGCAAAAATATTACACCAGAAGTTCTGATATAGTTTTACATCATACTCCAATTAAGGTCTATCACGTGTAAAGACAGACCAACCTTAGGTAAAAAAAAAAAATTAATATATGAGCAGACATGCCTATATATGTGGCGGGACCTAATTGGAGTCGTGATGCAAAATTACATCAAGACTTCTGATGCAAAACTGTATCAGAAATCCTGGTACAGTATTTTTTCGTGTTTAGGATTGCTACACTTTTTTTAGAAAAATAGTTATAAAAACATGATGGAGAAAACTGTTTATTAAAAAGCTATGATGAAAATTATATAAGATATTACTCGACTCTAAATAAAACACAGGCTCTGATTCCACTTTTGCGTGAATGAATCACATGACACTAAAATTAGGCAAACAGTGATCGAAACTGATTTGAACAAAACATAAGGTTATGAGAGCAAGTCAAATGGCATTTTTACATCAACAAATATTTTAACTATTTGACGTGAAACTAAAGAAAACATCATTTGCCTTAACAAAAATTGATAGGGGCAAAGCACTCATTGGAACATAGAGAGAGTGGGGAGGGTCATTTTTTACATACATACCGAATTCCTATGTATTTACATATCTAACTTCTACAGTTTATTTTTTACATTTAGATCAACCAAATCTTTCATATCACATAAACAATACCACCATTTTATACACCTTTTCATGCATAAGTTAGGTGGCATTATATAAAAATTTGAAGTTTTATGTGCTGGATAATCTATATATATATCTATATCTTTATAGACTATAAATCGGTGATATTTGAGAATATTGCTCCCCATATGTGTTATCCGTCCCCGAAGGGATCGAAACTGGGTCAGAAGAGTCTTATGTAAGCGATTCAAAGCCTATGAGGCTGTGAAAAAGAAGAGAAAATTATGTACGGAATCCGTATGCATGTGGCTTTCATGCACGATTGTAAACCTTCACACACAATTTTTTTGTGAAAAAGAGACCCTTGCTCAGTGTTTCTCACTCTAAAAAACATTGCTGCTGCACTCTCTGAGCTGTTGAAGTCTTAGAAGCTACAAGCTTCTTCAAACCTGAAAGAAAATCAAAATTTAATAGTAAATAAAACAAAAAAAATCACAAGCAGGTGAATTTCATCCAAACAAAAAGAAGCATAAAGTAATTATGGAGAGATCAACAGGAGGCGTTCATGAATCTCATGAAAACTTTATTGCAAATTTACATGATAGAAATGTATTTAAATTCAAAATTGATCTTATTACCATAGCCAAAAAAGTAGTATTGATGATATTTTTGATGTGATGCTAAAGATTTGAGTGTTAAAGATGTAAATATATAAGAATTGTATATATGTAAAAGCTCCAATTTGATAATATGGAAAAGAAGCCATAAAGTTAATTATAATGTGTCGACAAGAAACATACAACAACAATAACAAGTCTTAATCCCACTAAGTTGGGTCGGCTACATGAATCATTTTTTCTCCATTTTATCCTATTGAGTGTCTTATCTTCATTCAATTCTAATAAATTAAGGTCATTTTTTATACAGCATTGCCAAGATCTTTTTTAAGTCTGCCTCCACCTCCTTAACATAAGTCAAATCTAAAACATCTACTCTCCTAAACTGATCATCAAATGATCAGCGTTTAATGTGACCCAATCATCCAAAACGAGTCTCTCTAATCTTGTCTGCCACTGGAGCTACCCCAAACCATTCACGAATACATTCTACACACATCCACCTAACCATTCTCATCATAGCAACATTTAACTTAGTTTTATGCTTCCCTTTTATAGCCCAATATTCTGCACCATAAAGTATTGTAAGTCTCACCACCATCTTATAAAATTTTCCTCTCAAGTCTAAGCGGTACTTTTGTATCACACAATAGGCACGATGCATTCCTCCACTTCAATCATCCAAATTGAATTCTACTAATAACATCCCATGCATATCACCATCAATTTGAACAATAGACCCGAGATATCTAAAATGCTCACTCATTTTAATGATTTAATCACCCATTGTTGCAAATTTGTCACTAGATCTACTACTACTAAAAGCACATCTACTCAAACGAAAGTCTTTATACTCTAAAGTTGACCTCCATGATTCTTTTTTATCTTAATTCTCTCTCAAATCTTATCCACAAGAAGGATATCATCCGCAAAAAAGCATGCGCAAAGGTACACCCTTCTGCAAGTCATTCCATTTCATGCTGCAGTATCCACCTAAAAATAAAATTAAACAGAACACTCTAAGAGCTCGTCTGGTTGATTGAAGTTATGAAAAATATTTTCAAAAACTTGTAATTATATAGATATCCATCATTTGAATGAATGATGTTAGACGACAATATAAATTTGGGGCATTTACATACATACCGCCCAATTCCTATGTCTTTGCGTATCTATCCCCTAAACTTTGCTTTCTACATTTATACCGCCCAAATCTTTCATATCATGTATAACATGCCATCATATTAACTTTTTAAAAGTGAAATACATCTTCTCATGCATAAGCAAGGTGTTATTTATGTAAATCTTCCTATAAATTTTCATCACTAGAAGCACCTTCTTGAAAGAGAAGATTTAGTTAATGCACACAAAACAAAAATTAAAAAAAAAATAAATCTTTATTTTAATTTATTTTTTAAACCTTTCTTCATAAATCATCTAAAAAAATTATCTTAGGTTTCCACTTCCCATCCCTAATCCCCCTAATTACATCTCTATCCTTCATTGTACAAGTTCAAACCACCCAAGTCTATCTACATTTATGATTAAAATAGATATCACTCTAATTGCTCCTCTAATATAATTATTTTTTGGGACATTTACATATATACCATAAAACTCTTATGTATTTACATATCTAACACCAAAACATTCAAATCACATCAAAACCTATCTTTCATATTTACATACATAATAGCACCATAGTTTATAATATCACATAAAAAAGGCCACTATTATTAATTTTTAAAAGTGAAATACACCTTTTCATGCATAGATTCATGACACCTAAAATATTATAAATGTAAATATCAAACTTTAGGAATTAGATATGTAAATTCAAAAGAACTGTGTGGTATGAATGTAAATTTCCCAGTTATCAAATGAAAATGAACAAATAAACAAGCCAGTAAGTGAGACAAACAGCCCTTACCTCAGTCACATGTTTGAAGCTTTCTGAAGGGACAGTCTTCAGACATCTCTCCATCCAATTCAGTGTTAGAAGACAGGCTCCTTAAATCTAGCAAAAAAGCCCTCACAAAAAACTCCACTTCCCTGAAGTGACGTCAAATGGAAATATTAAAAATCTCAACCATAGCATATAGAAGAAACCAAATATGAAATTTATATTACACTACCAAAAGCATGGGAACTAATCTTACATTATTCAGATTGCACCTTATACATACACACCACTCAAATCCTACGTATTTACATACGTAACACCAAAATTTCAATTTTTACATACATACCGCCTTAGCTATGAATGAAAAGGTGTTTTTCCTTTTTTTTTTAAGTTAAAAAGGTGGTAATTTTGATGAAATATGAAAGACTTGGGTGGTACCAAAAAAAAAAAAAAAGAAGTAAAGTTTAGGTGGTAAGATATGTAAAAACATTGGATGCAGTGGAATGTATGTCAACGCTCCAAATATATAACAACATCAGCCCATTTCTGTCCTTGACATGAAAATTAGCATGCATCTATCAAAATAAAAACAAAAAAAAACCAAATTTACATACACAAATCTCATTTAAAATATGAGCTGGTATTACAAATCTTAACCTTTTTTTTTTTTAACTCAAAACACAGGTACATCAGTAAACTGCCCAAAGAAACAAGTGGAGAAATTGCAATATAATACAAAGTAACTACAACTCAGATTTGTTTCCAAGAAATATCAGAAAATTGGACAAATTGACACATTTTACAACTTAATCCTTACCTTTTCTAAACTGAAACTGTCAAAATAACTTCATGAGTTCCGGTTAGCAATTTGGCGGCTGCAGCTGTTTTAAACACTGCACAACTTGCTTCATGGAAGGTCTGATTGAAAGCGATTCAACAGTACATCTTGCCGCTAACTGCAATGTTTCTACGAGGTCATCATGAGGCCCAACATCCCACAACCCATCGGTAAAAAACTCACGTGCCCGGCCATGTCGAAGCAGCAAACATGCCCAGGCAACGATGTTGAAACCATTCCCATACGGCGAAAATGATGGATCCAACGCCTTCTTGTTTGACAGCAACTCGAGTAAAACCACGCCGTAGCTGTACACGTCGGCTTTATCGGAGACACGGCATGTCATGGCATACTCTGGCGCAACGTATCCAAAAGTTCCGGCAACGCCTGTGGTCGCGTGGGTTTCGGAATTACCCAAAAGCCTCGCCAAGCCGAAGTCCGACAGATACGCGTTGTAATCTTTGTCCAAGAGAATATTGCTCGGCTTGACGTCTCGATGAAGAATTCGTGGCACACAATTGTCGTGCAAGTAAGCGAGCGCCCGGGCGACATCGAGAGCGATTTTGTGAAGCATTCTCCAATCCACAGGTCGTTTGGATCTCTCTTGAATGAACCTCTCCAAATTGCCTCCTGGTAGGTAATTGTATATGAGAAACATCTCTACATCGCTGAGATGATAACCGATCAAAGTTACGAGATTTGGGTGCCGCCATCTTCCAAGAGTTTTTATCTCTGCGTGAAACTGTTGAACACCCTGCAACCGGCCGATGGAGAGCCTCTTAATGGCAACCAAAACGCCGGGCGAAATTTCGGCTTTGTAAGTTGCCCCAAAGCCGCCGCTTCCGATACAATTACTCGCATTGAATCCTCCTGTGGCTCGCACGACTGTCTCGTACGTGATTGGAACGCCAATATCTGTGAAAAGCCTTACTTCCCTTTGTCCGGGAGACTGGTGTAAGGATCTCGGGGCACATTTCGTCGTGTACACATAGAGAACAATCAAGGCCAGCAGAACTGAAACTATGGCCGAAGCAGATGTAATGGATGCAATCTCGATAGAACTGAACCCACTGTCACTACTCTTCACCGGCGGACTTCCAGGAGGTGTATCAGAATAAGCTTGTGAATCTGCTAGGTAACCTTGTGGGTTCGATGGTGGATCGGAAAGAGAAACTATGGGACAGGGTGGGAGGAGAGGATTTCCGTAGACGCTTTCGCACCGCAATTTGCTAGAGTTAAAGGGTAGAGGTCCAGAGAGATTATTGAACGAAACATTAAATGTCCGAACGGACGACACATTGGGAATCTTTCCAGAGAGTTTATTGCTATCAAGGAGAAGGACACTGAGATTCTTCAGTTTTACAAGACCGCTGGGGATTACTCCCATGAGAGAATTGAATGAAAGATCTACCATTTCAAGAGAAGATAACTGATCCAATCCAGAAGGTATTTGGCCACTAAGGTTGTTGCCAGCCACTGAGAGATACCTAAGATCTTTCAAATTCACAAGATTAGCGGGGATTGAGCCATGAAGTCTGTTCCTACTCAGGTCGATGGCGATGAGGCGTTCAGAAAGGCTGAGACTTGGGGGAATTGATCCTATTAGTTGATTATCAGATGCGTCAAAAACCACCAGAGACTCGCACAAGGCACCATTTTTATCAGGAATTTCACCATGGATTAGATTGTTGCTGAAGTTGGCAATAAGTCCCTTCAAATTGAGGCACTTCGCAAATAGATTTTTCGTCAAATGTCCGGAAAACTGATTCCTTTCAACAAAGAAAGCATATGTGATCTGGTTTCCTGATGAATCGACTGATACAGGTAAAATTGGAAGACTACCAGTGAAGTTGTTTCTAGCAAAATTGTGATATACCAGAGACTCAGTGCCAGTTTTCAAATAAGGCAAAGATAAACCGGAACGAGCTCGGTTCGAGAAAAATGAAGCATAAGCAGACACCTGGTTATCGGGCCAGGATCTGGGGGAACTGCATGTGTTATTGATGAATTCTGGAACTGGACCTGATAGCTCATTTCCACTGATATCAAAAAAATCCATGCAAGACACAGGAAGCTCCTCACTGATCCAACCAGACAAGCTGTTTGAGCTCAAATTAAGAAACTTTAGATTCCCACAGCGGCCAAAAACCTCTGGTATCCTCCCTGTAAACAGATTTTCCCCAATGTTCACCATCTCCAAGCTTTGGCAAGTACCCCAATTTCTAGGAATCTCCCCTTCCAGTATCACCCTTGGAGCCCAAAAGAGTTTTAAATGTGGCAATCTTGTTATACTATCAGGAATTCCACCTTGGAAGCAATTGAAATCGTCGATGTCTGCATCTCTCTCACCGCCTTCCTTCATCCGAACCGGATGGTAAGGATTTGATAACACAATTACTGATAATGCAGTACAATTTCCCAGCTCAGAAGGCACAGGACCACTCAGGCTGTTCCTTGAAACATCCAAAATCTGGAGCTTGTTAAGCAGGCCAAGAACTGAAGGTATAACATCATCAAGCAGATTGGAAAACAAAAGTAAAGATTGAAGTTTGGTACAGTTTCCAAGGCTGCGAGGAATGTTGCCAACAAGAAGATTTCCTGATAAATCCAGGCGCTCAAGATTCAAGCACCCGAAGCCAATCTCTTCAGGGATGGAGCCGCTGAGATAGTTGAAAGACACATAAAGAGCACGCAAAGACCGCATATTGCCAAAAAATCCAGGAACAGTGCCGTTGAGATGGTTGCCAGAGAGGTCTAGGGTTTCCAAAACAAGACAGTTCGAGAGGGAGGATGGAATCTCACCTGCGATCTGGTTGAACCCCAAGTTCAGAACTCGCAAACCACGAGGAAATTGCAGAGGTAGATAACCGGAGAGGATATTTGCCTCAAGATTGAGCACCTCGAGGTTCTCCAACAACCAAATCTCGTCAGGAATCTCACCAGACAGACGATGGAACGGCAAGTTAAGGACTTTAAGCTGCGAAAGCTCGCCAATAGATGCTGAAAGGCTCCCCGTTAGCTGCCGTGTCAGATCGGCGCAGCCGCGAACAGTCGGTGTAGAAAGCGGGCATGAAGTTGCAGCGGCTGCGGAGATGTTGACTGCAACGACCCGTGAACGCGAGTCGCAGGAGACCCATGGCCAAGAACAGTGGTCCAAGCTCTCAGTGGACCATGCAGAAAGTAGACCAGCAGGGTCGGAGATGGAGCTCTTGAAGCGTAGCAGCGCATCACGGTCATCGCCGAGAGCAAAACAGAGGATGATGAAGAGAGTGAAGAGCAACAAGGTGAGATCTTTAGTGGAGACATCCCGGCGGCGAGTCATCGCCGGCGGGGAGCGCATTCGTCGGAGCGTAAAACTTAACCCCAACCGTACCCAAGCTTAACCCGAGTCGGGACTTAGCGACGAGAGGAAGGCTCAGTGAAGAAGCTATCGTGATGAAGTGGAAAGTGGAAAACCCTAGCTTTTGGCTCCTTGATTGAAGAGAGAGAGAGAGAGAGAGAGAGAGAGAGAGAGAGAGGACGCAGAGGGACCGAAATGCAATATGGATGTAATAATGGTAAAAATTAGGGATCTTTTCAGGAAAACGCGTTTTCACCTCATAAACCTCGTCGTACGCTTTTTTAGATCTGATCACTAGACGTCTAAAAATAACACGACACCAATCTTGAGAAAAAATGAATGGTCTAAATATCTCAATATTTACCTCTAAAATATATCAGCTTCGGAAAATATTACCTTTAAGAGTAGGTGTGCGATAATTAATTTGTCATATCTTATTTTCAATGGATAAGATTCTGCCACGTCATTATTTGGTATGTAGATTTCAGAACAAATTTAAAAAATATATATACAATGCATGACAAATATTTAAAGTACTCTCTAATAGAGTTTTACATTTAAATATGCAATAAAACAACAAATTGCAATTTTAAGAATCAACTTGGCTTCTAGATGAAACCTTCCTTCTTCACATCACAATAAATTTAATTTCAATAATATCAAGGTATATTTACAAACATACCACACGATTTTTCTATATTGTCAAATCTAATACCCACCCAAGTATTGATATTTATACTTCTAACATTTTGTTGTGTCGAGTCTATGCATGAAAAATTACATTTTATTTGTCAAAAATTGTGATGGTGATACTTTTAATGTGGTGTTCATGTAAAATTTGCTAAAATGATGGACTTGGCCATTAAATCTTATCCTTCGTAAAAAAATAATGATGGTGATGCGTTTAATGTGATGTTCATGTAAATTTTGCTAAAATGATGGACTTGGCCATTAAATCTTA